GCTTGAAGAAAGTGTCTTCTAAAAACTGGCAGTAGGCTTGGGAGTTGATTTTAAGTCCATCTTCAACCCGCAAAAGGGACAACAAGCTCATAATTAATAATACCAGCCCATAGCAGTACCCCACCTCCACCTTGCTGGCATCCGAGTTGAAGTGGAGCTCTGCGCCCATTACTGATCCAGCCATGGACCCATCCATCTGGTCAGTCAAGATTCACTCATCTCATCAGTCCATAAAAACGTTTCAACTTCGTGTCTTGTTCAGTGGTGGTCGGGTTTCAGCCTACCTTACCTTGGTCATGTCTCTGAGCACTGAACACCTTGTACTTCTGGGCATTCCAGGTAGGTTGCAGTCCTGAAATATGACAGCACTGGTTCCTGGCAGCTTCACGTTTCATTCTTCTCAAATCTTTGGCAGTTTGATGGTTCTGTGATCACGCCCCAATATATTAGCAATTTCAAGAGTGCTACATCCCTCTGAAAGACTTTTTACATTTCTTGACTGATTTTTTTTGTCAATCTCTTTTTTTGGCCCATTTTACCTGAGGAAAAGAAGCTGCCAATCATTATGCACACCTTGATATAGGGTGTTGATCTCCTAAGGCCACATCCCCTTCCTCATTACACAAATACACATCACCTGATATGCTTAAATCAAATACACATTCAAGTTTATACAGCTTCAAGTTGGACAATATGCATAAAAATTGTGATTTGATCAAAATACTCACTTCCCTAATAATTGTGCACACAGTTTATTTGCGCATTCACATCAGTCCCTGCCCTACTAGAACTTACAATCTAAGTTCCCTATCTAAGGTCACATGCATACATACAGGACCAATTTAGACAGAAGCCAATAAACCTACCAGCACGTGATCAGGAAACCGAGGAGGGATCCAGAGTATCCAGAGGAAACCCACGCAAGCACAGGGAGAACATGCAAACTCTTAAAAGTAAGTAATCAGTCACTAAAGATTGGTTGTAATTGATTGGGGGTCCCAGCAAAATGTCATACTTTGTTTCAAAGTCTGTAGCATCATTGGGGGAGAGTTTTGCTTAGTTTACATGACTAAGAATTACTATGTACCAAGAACTAAAATACATGTGTGAGATGCCTTAGATGAAAGCTGCCATTCTCTTAATCCTGGACTGCATGCTAGTTTTGGGGCACTGTATTTAAACCTATTCAACACCACTGGGAAGATTTTCCTGCTCCGATAAATATGCAGCCTGGCAGTCAGAGAATGACGGCTTACGTGCCAGGCTTCTCAGAGAGGTATTTTGCTTTCTGACAGATTCTCTTAAGAAAACTCTGCACTGAGGGAATATAACAGCTGCCATTGCAGACCTTTTGAAAAGTCTAGTTGCCCTATTTCAATACTTTCTGAGTCACTGAACAAGGACAAATATGCAGCCAGTCACACCAGTTAAAGCTCCATGATATAAAAAAAAAATATATAAAACCAGTGGCTTATTGCTTCTGAAAATAAAAAAGCAGCTTTTCCCGCAATACTCACCTCCTCTCCAGTGCTGTCCCATGTTGCAGGGACACCCCCCGAGTGTATGTCTTTACACTACACTGGGTTTAAAGCACTTCTGCATGGAACAGAGCACACATCATTATTTGGAGCGCCAATCTTGGCAGGACTAAGGACTGCCTCTCTGTTGGGATGTCATGTGATCAATCAGAAGATGTTAGG